TATCCTAGTTATACACCTTTGTAGCCAATTGGTTCCTAAATTATAAGCTCTTTCCCTTAACTAAACATTTTTGAAGTTAAATTTTTGAGTCATCAAAAGTTGACTTTTCTCACTATCGAACCAGCGGTGACCTTAAGACAGTTAAGTGAGCAGCACTTCGATCGAACATTAAAACTATTTTCATACGCAAAGCGAATGAAGATAATCTTATAATATCCTAACCTAAATAAAGTACACCATAACCCAAGTTTAAATCCAAAGTTTTCTAATCCCACTGCAAGTGTCAATAAGGACAGCTGCATGTTTTCTGGACGGCCGCCAAAGTCTCGGCGCCGCTCTACAGTCTCCAGTCACAGAATCCTCCGAGACACTTCTCATTTGTGTGAAATACTACGTACAGTCTTGGCTAGATGACTCACCAGATCATAAATATCTGCGGCCTCATTACTAGAGTAGAGTACGTCATACATAACCTAAACACAACACTCGTGGTCGATGGTTCGAAACAGACAACACAGCACATTGGTGGTGTGAGGAACGATTTTGTGAGGAATGAAAATACTGATTTGAAGAGGGATAAGTTGAGATAATGAGGGGAAAGGATGAATACCCTGTAATTTCAAACGATATAGTAGCAAATCCATCGAACTTTTCCCGTCAACCGCGTCCTAAGATGAAAACCATTGTAGACGTTTCGTTCTTAATGTGCACCGGAATTATGAGCAGCTAGGCTAATTTGGACACGCGATTTCATAGGATTTTTTCACACTGAAGTATACTGAATCAGAGAGCACATTAGAATACATGAATATACTATGTAGGCTATGCTAAAAGTTATGCCAGAATATAAAACAGAATAAGTATGGAGATTGGCAATTTTCTAGAGTCTCATAACCTAGTTGCAGAGTATTTCAACTTATTTTCCAACTGATTATTTATGTTCCATGTTGAATGTTCTATAGTGAAGAAGTGGCACAATTTGATGACAAAAATTAGTTTTTTCGTGTATGGACGTTCTGATTTGAAAAACTTTTACTGTTGTTGAAAAAGAAAGTGGGTCAATTTGCCACATTCATTTTCGTAGGGTATTATCCCTCGTTGGTGTTATTCAAAGGACATAACTCATCATCCACAAGCTAATATGGTAGCAAATCCGTAAAGTAATTAGGCTACAATCCACTGAATCGAATTTTTCCACTTTCAAATTGTAAAAGAATTCAACTCATATGACAAACGATAATGATAACGATGGAACGAAAACTTGCAAACGTTCGAGAGCAAGGTTCAGTATCGAGTATAGTACGTGATTATTCACAACTAAATAGCTGGAATTGTATCACCACAGTTTGTTTGCGTGTTGGTTGCTAAGCAACGCTCGGCTCCAATCCGTCTACAGACCACTGCAGAGACTGCCGCCGTCGTTATCGCAGCTGCGTTGGCAGTTTTTCATAACTGAGAGTTTTTATTCAATTTTAATACTGGTTATAAACATGGTTATATATATTACAACGTTGTGTCATCTTACTTTTCACCCCCACTGAAGTGTGTGATACGTTTTCACATTAAAATATTGGTCGTTTTTCATCAAAAGTAAATATGTTTTAAAACTTATATTCAGGTTTTGCCTAAATATAACGACAAAAAATAAACACTAACCTAACCTTACCACCTATTCTTACCTAAAATACCATTACCTTAAAATATCCTAAGCCTACCAAAACTAACTGGTGGTAATCAATGGAAACGGACCAAGAAAAGTGGGCAAAATGGGCAACAAATCGTAAAAATATTAGGACGTTTTGTTTGGAAATATTTTGACTTGTACACAGGATTAGGCATTACACACTTACCAAACCTGACCTAGCCTATAATCTGACTTAAAAACTAACCTATCATAAACTAAAATATCCTTAACCACCATTAACTTAACTGTTGGCGTGTTAACGGAAACAAAATATATAAAATAGTTTTAATCAATTCACGGAAAATGATTTTTTTCTACCATTCATCGAACATTTGAAAAAAAGGAGGCACGAATTGGCTCCTAAATGTTCTTTTTTTGTTATGATTATAAACTGAACTAAACTAACCTAATCTTCCCGAACCTAACCTGAAATAACCCTAACAGCACCGCAGTGCACTATAAATGAGTGGAAGTCCTCTTCTTGAAATGATCCCATATAGTTAGAAAATAAATCAAACTTGAACAAATTAAAATGTTCAAGGGTGTAACATTTAAAATCTTAATATAATATTGGGCCACTACAAGAAAAAAGGTTTAGTATTTAAAAAATCTACTAATAGCACTGTTGATGAGATAAAATAATCAAGATAAATTGAAGTGTGTGTTAAGGGGCAGCATGAATCTTTTTATAAAATTATGCCTAAATTATTTGAGCTCATCTATAACTCTGTTCTGCACACATTTTCTTGTTAAGTTAATCCTCATTTTTCTTGGACAGTCTGCACTGATTATAAACAAGGTGATTCAGACGTAACCGTAAGTTTGCAGTGTTTTAAACAACATTTCGAAATAGAAGAGTAATTAAACTTTTACCTTGGTGTAAATATTATAAAAGTATTAACCAGAGTTTGTAGCAACAATGTGACGAAATAGAATGAAGAAATATACAGTGTTATGTAAATAGAATGTAGTTCTATATGTCTGTAGGAAAAGGTGAAGTTAGTTTCAGTAGTTTTAGTGTTAATATTGTGTACAGAACCCTGACTTAATGAAGTTTAGAATAGTATCATGTTTTGATGTTTTCTCCTTTAGTAAGTACGCATACTTATAAAACAGTTAGTTATCACTAGCTTAGCACTTGGTAACTAGCGGACTTTAATAAAAATGGTTTGAGACGAGTAAAAGAAATCAGTGTGTGGTCTGCTGGAATTTGAGTGCAACATTACCGGAGAGTTGGGTTTTAATTTCACTTGAATCAATACCAAGTCGACCATATGAACGATCTCTTGAGGCTTTAGCTCATGGGGATAATTCATTTTTATTCTCAATTTCCCATATAAAATGTATTTATTCAATCAAAATATTTTCCTTCTTTTAAATCCAGCAATTTTTCACCTAAACATAGAAGTGTAAAATCAACAATATATTCTTACATATTTAGTTCCACACCTTGACTGTTAATTAATCTCTTTTTTAATATAAAAAAAAATATTTAAGAATAACATTTATCAAGTAATGAAATATAATTACATGTGATATAATACATAAATTAATAATTAATGTAATATAATTATTATGTAATGTAATGTGTGTTGATTTTTCACCGTCGTTGCTAGAAAAAAATAGTAAAGGATTCTTTAATTATTACTCAACAGCGTTGTTGTTAAAGCACAATAATAATATAAATCACTAGTGAATTTATTTTATAAAACTGTATAATGTAAAGTTGTATTCCAGTTTAAAAACACATTTTGGAGAGAAATTAATTTACTGTTATAAACGGGATGCATTAATAATAGGGTGACCTCAGGGAAATGTCTATCGTTATTTCTTTAAACGAGATTAAAACTTAATTAAAAAAACAATTCAAAGGTTTTGAGAAGCTGAACAAACATAATTCATAATTTGACGCTATTGACCCAATATTATTTTAGTTTACTTATTCAGACAATTCGAGGAAAACCATATAAGCTTAAATGAAAACTTATTCATTCTATTTGAAAATGTTTTAAAATGTGATTCATTGATTATAATAAGTAGGAATATTTGAATATGAGAGAATGATTCAATGTGCAAAAACTGGTAAATAACATATTGTACAAAATTTTACTTTGTATCTTAAAACGAAATAAATTAAAACTCTATAGCTATAACAACAAGGTATATGTAGAAGATACATATTTAGAAATATACTGATTCCATCAAAAACAATTTAGTTCTTTCTTACTTTACATAGATAACCCCAAATAAGGTGTATATATGTGATGTGTCTTAGTTTTAGTGGTAGTTTCTTACCTATTCGACTTTTGTATGTTACGTTGTAGAACAACGCATATAAATTAGATAACTAGGTAATATAATGCACTTGAGTAAAGAAATACGTTTATCGAAGCGTACTTATTTGTTTCTTTTAGTCCTTAACGAAGCTATAATAATTTAAAGCTATTCAATGATTCATGGTTCAATAAGTAGTAGAGTACCAATCATTTTATTGTGTTTTGTTGTGTTTTTAAGATATATTATGTCACAAAGATTAATTTAGTATTTTAAAGAAAAATGTGACTCAAACAATAAGTAGATGATTCATTTCCACAAAAATGTATTACTATTTCATTTCATTAGGCTGTATGAACAGTCAAGAAGGGCGCAGTTGTTTTTAATGTAGGTTTAGGTATACATACAGGGTGTTTTAGAATTGTTTTAGTCGTCCAAATGCGTAATTTACTCTAAGTAACATCACGGACGATTATTATAATTAAACAGGTTACTGGACATATTAAATATGACAAGAAAATGTTAACATTTTTTTTGTAATAAAAGTTACGCTTGTATTACAAAATTGGAGTTATACTAAGTTATAATCAAAATTTACTTTCTGTAAAAGGTAATACCAATTTAAAATGTCGATGTTTTCAAACAATTGTAGGTTATTTTCGACCTCCATTCTACCCCAAAAATTTTTTTTGTTATTACCTTACGCCTGTTATAAGATTGTACAATTAATTGATAACCCGATGACTAATGCCATCCGGATCTAAAATCAACCTTGCTTGGGTAACCTACAGATGCAAAGATCACTTAAACATTTAATACAGTAATTTTACTGCTTACTGAAAAATTACTTTTTTCCTTCTTACACAAAAATCTTCTTTCTTCCAGTTCGGTTTAGTTTGATCCTTACGTTTTTCTATGCCGGTGGCATTTTCGCGCATTTTACAATGGGTTGGTAAACACTTAGATCTTGTCACTAAGCGCAATAAATCACAAAACGATCCTAAATTGTTCTAACAACTAAACTACACCGTTAACGTTCCAGGAACCTGAACAAGATGATGACGACCAGTATCTTGACGCCTCCAGGACCCATCGCTGATGTCTAGGAGGTCAGCTGTAGAGGTCAGATCAAGGTCACCGCTGCTGTAACCAAGCCAGAGCCGCTCCCGCACTCGTAGTGTGATCGTTTCAGTTGTTTTCTAAGCTTTACAACTTATGATTTCAACCAAAGACCATTTTATGAATTGCTCATCAGTTACCTCGTGCCGTAGCCTTGTAGAAGCTTGGACAGTGGGACCACAACGCCGACTTTTGTTCTTAGTGGAATTTACTTATTTGTGACAAAATTGTTATCGGTCTTGAGTCAGTGTTGAGACCATAGATTCTTATATCGACTGTTAGTATCTCTTTTGTAAGATTTGAAATGACTACAACCTATTCCTTGAAAAGTATAATGGTTTTGATGCTAATTCTGCTTTTGTTCACGTTTATCATAAAAATGTATAAACAAATTAAAGATAAAATCAAATATGACAACTTTAAAACGACTCTTACAGCTCACAACCAATTTATTGGCAAATCTTTATACAAAAGGTGATTCCCTACTACTTTAAGTTTAACATGATTTACATTACGTTATGAACGAGGATTTTAAGCAATAACGTATAGCTGATGTTTCAACGGTTGTTAAATGCAAAAAATGCAAGGGCATTTTAGCTATGTGCTCGGCTAGCCGGGACTTTCATCGCTGGAGGGTTGGCATCCCTTCTTCGTCGCGGCAGCAATACTTCTTGTGATATCCGACCACACGTTTCTTTGTCTTTCATGTATCTTGCTTTGTAAATACCTGTTAAATCGTTGATTATGACAGAACAACGGAGATCACGTTCTGAATACATCGTTTTACTATTAATAGTTTAAATCAGGGTAAAAAGTTTGTTAGAGTTTATAGTTGTTGGTTAACTTTCAGGATTTACTATTCTTCAATATTGTGGTGTTTCAAAACATTATTACTTTCTTCAAATACATTTTTGAACGAGATATTAAAAATTGAAAACCAATCGATGATTGTTTCTAAATTTAGGATATAAAAAAATAATAATACACTTATGTTTTAGATTATGTCAACAGTCAATAATTTTCAAACAAACAATCACTCTTAGCTCAAATTGCTAAAATATTCTTTCTATCTGGAGCTAAAAAATATAAGCTTTGTTAAACATAAATTATAAATGTTGTTCTCTTGTAATAGGCTGATGTTTTAAAATAGTACCTTAACAAAATAAGATGCAAATTGGCATTGCTTGAACCATGTAACTGCAGCTAAACTCACATACTCACATACTTTCCTTTCTCCTGAAACTATCGAGACTTGTAAAATATGCATCAGAGTTTGGTGTAAGTCAATGTAACTCAATACTATACTATTTGTCTGCCTACTAAACAATCTTAGAGGCAGTGTGGTGACTATACGCATCTCTAGTATGTAAACTTCCAGCCGAATAGGATTTAGAAGTATCACTAAATGCCAACGAACTAGATACCTCCATTAAGGATGATAGTATTTTATAAATTCAGCGGCAATGCTTATATACATCTCACCGAATTTCTTCTGGTATTTTCTGGCATAAAAACACCATTTTGATGTAAAAAATTGTGATCTTTATAGTGGATAGCTTGCACTATTCTTAAATTTTGTAGTACATTTTGTCTTAAGTTTCCCCAATATAAAGAATATATCACACATAAGGGGACAATTAGGTTTACAGAAACTAAACAGTTAATATAAACTGAGATTAACTGGGACATGTTACAATGTTTAATGACAGGATTTTAACAATAACAATGGCGTCAGACAACATAAAAAGCTGATGGCCATGTAAAATATATATTTTTACATTTGCAGTGGAATAGTGTGAAAAGATTATTGTTACAAACCAACTACAAATGCATATCTTTGCGATACTCGGTATATTTCTTGTATTAATCTAAAAATAAACCCGGGCAAAACTATATTCCTGGTTAACCCAGCATAGTTCTTAGTCCCTTTTTGGTATATCTAGTCTACTGTTGAGGTTGAAAAATATTTGTACGGAGTTGAAAAATAAATAAAAACAGTTTAGTTTATAAAGCCGACCAAATGTTATCTATTTAAATTGCTATTCTTAGAAATTCTGGTATTCATTCAGGGAGTATTTCCATCATTTAACTTGTTGAAATGAAACCACAGATGAAATGATCGGTTTGTTGCAAAGGCCACTAATCCCATTAATGCGAGAGGGTTACTTGGGTATAATGTATTCATCAGTAACTTCCTCAAATTAATCCAATTTTATAACCTTGATACTTAGAAAAGAAATGTACTTTTTGCCTAATTTAAGTTGTTATCTGTGAAGCACTTTTTTAAAGATTAAATATTTTTAAAAGTCAATCATCAAGGCTTAGCTGTCAATAGAAATGTTAAAAATCCAGAAACTGTAATCAAATTCAATTTCCCACTAGAATGCGTTTTATATTGCATGTGAAGGAATCTTTGCCCCCCAAAAATTAAAAGTTCGAAATAACAGTAATCTAAAATACTGCCATATTCGTTTTCACTGTGTTACTTGTAGACTACAGTAATCTATATAAAGCTGTAAGACAGTAAGACAGTATAGTTTGATGACAGAATTAAAATTTAAAAACATCCCATTCGGCTGGAAGGAGTATGAAACTGATTGTAATATTATAGATTACCGAGTTTTTACCAAAATGATGAACAAACATTTTTAAACGTGTTTCCAAATCTACAGTGTAAATTCGAAATGTTATAGTATTTTCAATTGTTGTATAAATCTAAATCTGTTGGCCTGGATGAGGTAATACTTAGTGTCTGATTCGGAGTTTGTTCTACTTTATAGAGTTCGTCCCAGTAGAGCATGTAGTTTTCGGGCTGGAGGTTTGTACCAAATTTATGTTGGAATATATGTTGGTAATATGATGGTATTGGCTAAGCTAGTGTAGTGTGCTCTACCTAATATGGAGGGGAGTAAATACAATCTAAGCTTATACTATTATGACCATGCATTTATAAGAATATTTTTCTCCCTGTGATGATGTGTACAGAAATCTTGAATTTTGGTTCTTATCCTTGCTTAATATTTGAAACTTTCAACCAGACAAACGTGTAAAGTGTTTTTTTGTAGTTTTGTTTTCTTTTGGTAAATAACAATTAGAAAGAAAATCTAAATTACAAACAAAATTGAATCGGTACAAAACTCCCAGCCTTCTAACTATAGTCTCCTTACTAGGCCAATCTCGTCCGTTGGACAAATGAAATGCAATTACAGGAGTTCCAATCAAAACAAAAGCAGTGCTTTTCTATCATGTACAAACAAAGAAACGATTTCATTGTTATTTATAGTTACCTGTTTTGTAAACTGCTTTGTTACATAGGCCTAACTCCACATGTGAAAGTCATTCCATCTCGCATAATTGTTATTTGATTAAACAAGCGCAATCCACTGGTATTTTCATTTCTCCTTATGGCATCTATTTGACCTCAAGTGCTTCAACTTTTAGGGGTTATGTTAGAAAACCATTATGTAGCATAATCAATATTAGCCTTATGTCTACTGAACGTTCCCATGCTAAACGTAACTCATAATATGAGTTTCACCTAACTTGTTAACTCTAACAGTGAGAAAAGGGTGAAATGTTAACATATTTTTTTGGTAATAGTCAATCAATCAATCAATAAAATATTATCTTTGTTTCATTATATGCAAACATAGTTACATGAAAGAGAGTCACCGGCACTAAAATAACTAAAATAACAACATTTTTGATTATCAGGGACTTTAAAATAGTCAAGAACAAAACTCCTTTATAGAGAAGAAAGGGGATTCAATTAGAAATCTTTTTGGTAAATTTAAAAATCGTTTCGTATTATTTCTTTCTTGTATGATATTTTGTGGCAAAAGTTAAAATATTAGTTTCCTTTATAGGCTTTTTAAAGCTATAATTTATGATGCTCAACCAATCGATTGAGTCTTGTATTATAGCTATGGACAGTATTAGCAAATGTAAGTATATTGTTAGATATTACAAACTTTATTGATTCAAAAATAAAGAGGCTGTAAACAGTAAATATTTTCAAGTTGGTAAAATCATTTTTCACTAGATCAGATTTTTTAAAGATTCAAAATCACTCAACAATTATCAATCTTAACCTATTTGGATTTCTAAAGATTGTATACTTTTAAAATACAATACAATACATTGTCAAAATCTGTAATCTGCTCGCAACTCAATTTTTTTCAAATTTCTATCTCTTATAGTTTAGAACAGTTTCATTTTATACTTAATATATTCATAGGCTAACACTTACTAATCGATGCGTTTTCTCCTAATTTACATAGCGTTTGATGAATAACCTTTTATAAATATTGTATTAGTCACTATTCGTTTTACTGAAAAGGTTCAGTAACTAAGTGTAACTAAAATATTGAGTTGCAGGCAAATGCAACGAAATCAGTTATCTAACGGATTTTGGCCCATTTCATTAGTTAGGAAATCAATAAATAACTAATAAAGACATTGAGAAGTTTTTATGCATATTCAAGATTAATTCAAACTACATTACATTACTACAAATTACATTTGTAAAGTACAATTTCTTTTATATATTTTTACACTTTGTCAAATTCACCCAAGCGAGAGTGTTTAATAGTTTAATTCACTCATTTAATAAATTGATCATTCACTGCAACAGTTGACATGCTAGATGTAATAAATATCCAGTCCTACACTATTTTGGATCTGATCTGTATATTTAGTTAAGGAAATATGTAACAAACTTTATTTAGCATATTAGTTAGATGTTAAAAGTGAAACATTTACTTTACAAAAGTGGACCATTTATGATAATTATTGATAAGTACTTAACTCTAAAACGATTAGTGCCCATAATGCATTCATTCCTAGATTATAAAAGTCTTCATTATATTGAATTTTAACCTCCTGGATCGCATTTAAATACTTTAAATTGGTTTAAATACCTGCATTGATGCGATCCTGTTTGTAGATGAGTTGCTACCGGTTTCAACTCACATATGAGTCATCTTCAGGCTATTGAAAATGTCTTCTTGCTTCATTCGAAGGTCGTCAACTGATAATAAATAAATAAACAAAACACAAACACGAACATAAATAGGAACATTTAGGATTTAAAAACATTTACAACGGTAGGGCTACGGCACACGATGTGATCGGGCGGGAGTTATGTCTAGACATAATTAATTGAGATTAATTCGTTTACTAAATTCATTCCCTCGACTTCGTGTAGTAATTAACAAGTAATTTCCTCCTTTAGTACAGTATAACCGCTGATGTAAAAAATAAGGTAAATTCAAATAAACCAACTTTAGATACTTTTACCGTATGGTTAAACATATTGCTGGGGCTAAGTACATCAACTCCACTAAGAAGCCGCTGAGGAAGCCAGCTGATGGTAATCCCATTGCTGAGTGTCGCCCCAACACTTGTCATATGGCTGGGTAAATACGGTAAAACCTCTTACTTGGATCAATTGGCTACATGAAAATCTACATCTTTCATCAAAATTATCGTGACTGGTTAGTAAAAAAAATTGCTAGGCTCTTAAAATAAAGTTCTTTAGTTGAAGTTTAGCATTAGTTATCAAAAACGGAAAAATATACTTCGTTTTGGTTTATATGAACAAATAATATTAGGTTGAATGTATAAAATCAGTTTTAAATAGTGGTGAACCTAAAAAGTATTATACTTAAGCTTAATAAACACCCTCTACTAATAAATAAGGACGAATCAAGTTGGAGTTAAGTTTCAGTTAGTAATTATTTGTGTGTACATTTTATGTATGCACGTACTATTAATAAATAACAGTACTAAAGTGAGTGTAGGAGTCCTGGCCATTGGTAGTAAATTCAGGGGCCATATTTGTATAATCTAACCTAACCTAACCAAACTTCTATATGATAAGGGCCAGAGGTGGCCGGTTCTCCGTTTCCCATTAAAAGGTTTCTGCCACTTTCAGATTTTAAAATATTTGAGGGTCTGAACACCCAGGTCTACGTAGTTACCATGTTTAACTTTTAAGAAAACAAAAATTAAAACATTATCTTTATAATCTTTGTTAGGGTTTTCATTATTTACACTGTAAAGCAGAACATTTACTCAAACAAGATCTAACATGTGAAAACACACGGTAAGATTTCTACTTTATAATGATGTTACTGTATTCGTTATAAAATACGATGTGACATTTCTGTATTATAAGCTATTTTTGTAGCCAGTGGAATATTAGAACCATACCAGACATAATAGTAACAATAGTATAATTTGTCTTTATACGTGTAAACTAGCTGTTCTGAATTATAAGCCTACACCGTTTTAACTGACTACTCCCGTACGTAGGACGGGCTAACACCTCGTATTATTTTAAATCAGTTTGATTAGTTATCATTTCAACAATTAATGACTCAGTCAACTCGTATGCTAAAAGAACATTGACGGGAGTACAAAGGAATAGAAAGGATTCAACAGGATTTCATTGTTTTAGTCAGAAGTTGTGTTCTTTGTCCAAGGAATAAAGTCCAGTATTGTGTATATGTTTTATAAACATTGAGTCAATAACCTTGAACAGATACTGAAAATTACTCAATTCTTTGTTAAAATTATTATACATAGAGTGCTCACACCAATGCAGTTTCTTCAACACAAAAATGAATGTATCGACAATGTTGAGAAATAAACACTCATTAAAATCCACTGAAGGGCTTTAGAGGGCTCCTGAACAAAGTGTGCTACAGACTCAAGTACGATGGGAGATAGAGTTGAGAGGTAAAGGAGCGGCAACAGCATCGATCAAGCCAGCTTTGGTCAGAATTTAGATCTTTACTTCCGTTTCAAAAGCGCAATTAAAAAATCTACACCACTCTTAACTCTTAAAAAAATATTTTTGTTGACTATCAAACTATAGACCGAAATTTGTACACTCCTTTTATTTTACATCGGTTTAAGTGTTGATGCTATTGATTTTACCTTACAATATAGAGGGTTTGCATTTTAAATAAAACATTGCGTTCTTTCTTACAATTTTCACGTATTATTCTTATCCGTTTGTGTTCATTTCCACTTGTCAACTAACTACTATTCACGATTGGAATGTTGGCGTCGTCCTGTAACCCAACTACTAGGAGGTGACGAATTGTGGATATTTATAGGTATGCACTGTGGATGCGATACTCCCTGGTGTGGTTACGTCCGTACTAGTGAGTACTACGACTATCCGCAGTACTATCCTGACAATTCCTTAAATTACAAGGCAAAAATGTGGTTCAGATTCCATTATGAACTGTAGGTCCCTTAGTTGCCATTGGCTATTAATTAACTGCTGTGTCTAAGGAATATGTCGGCCTTAGTCACTAACAAAACTACAAGATCACGTCACTCATCCTACACTCATCCCCCTTCGTACTTGGCTTAAAATACTTTTGTATGGTCGCCATTTCAAAGTAAAGTATTTAAATGAGTATATTAAAAGACTCCGCTGATTTTATTTTCAACTTTTAAGTGTTTTTGAGGTCCAAAGAGTTCGTGCATCTTAAAGCTGTTGTCTTTTTCTTTTCACTTTTAAGTCACAGATGAAATGTAATTTGTGTTTTTATTTCCCAATTCCTATCTATTGTAATTCGAGTCTTTTTGTAGAGATTTTGAATAATAGTTTCCTATCAACAATAACTTAAAAACTAAAAAATTTCTAGTTTTCTAAAAGTTCAACTACTTTAATACATAGACGATGTTAAATTTAAATATTAATTTCCTAGTGGGGCTGTTGAGCTGAAACATTTCTGTGTTTGAACTCTGTTCTGCTGTATAGTAGTATAAAAATAAACTTTTATTATAAAGATTAATTTTAATTTCACGATTGAAACCTTCCTAATCATTTCGTCAACTTATTGAAACATACTAAAATGTGAATCCAAATAATATCAAATTAGTTTGCAAAGTAAATTACTATAAGAGATATCATGCTATGATTACTTTCTTTCAATGTATCGTTTAAAAGCTGACTTGGGTTCCATCCATTCAACCATAAGTTTTAAAGTAAAAGTAATGAGTAAATATGTTTCATGTATAGAATTTTTTAATTGAAACTAGGCCTACTTACAAATGTGCATTTTGCTTTATTTTTCAAAAATAGAACCTCTCAACACCACACCAAGTTTCAGTCAAAACTTTGATCAAATCATCCTTAAATAGCTTTAACTAAAATTGTATCCCAAATAAAGGTGTACATTTAGTTCTAAATACAGTTAGCATTACTAACGTTTAGATATACTGTCTTATAACTGAGCACCAAAGACACACTTGAAGATAAATTATTGAGCATTATTGTGTGGAGCGAGTTGAGAGACATAAGCTGAATGGTATGAGGTTTGAATTGTGTATGAACCACTAGCATTACTTTGGAGACAACCACGATCTC